TGACACTAAGTGAATCCTTTTCTTACTTACAGTCTACTGTGTATCCCACAGATGTAGGCCAACGTCAGGAGAGAGACGGTGGGAAAACACAACAGTGTTTGACCTCCAAGCTCCGTCAGTGAAGGTCTGGCAGCAGATCAGACACAAAGGTCCAAACCTAGTCTTTTACCACCGTGAGGTAGAACCAGGACCTGGCAGTCGATCATCTGAGGTGAAGTGTTGCTGCGGGACCTTTGGCTGAGGACCAGCTGCTTCAGATGGAACTGAGGTTTTCTCATGACAGGATGTGGCACAGTTTCCTGTTTGTTTCAGATTTGTTTCTTTCCTCTTCATTGAAAATGTTTTGCCATGTAGTCAAATGAGCTAAAAGGGGTTTTTATTCAGTCTATAACAGAACCAACACAAATGTTTCACACTAATGTTTGTGTGAAGTGTTTGTACGAAGATGATGTGAAGAAATTCACACTAGAAAAAAGGAAGAGAGCAGCTGGAGGCGGACGCTCAGTCAGAGGATCTTTGGATCTCAGCTCTGTGGTGGATTATTGTCCTGGACACTGAAACCTAAGATGATGTTGTCCTGTAATGTTGGCCAAGAAGAACTAGGAATGTTTTACACTGTTTTCTTAACAGCATTTAGAACTTCACTCAAATGTTAGGAAAAATAAAAAATAAACCTAAAAAAAAAAAGAATTAAAATGTTTATCTTGTCTGATAGTTTTTTTAAGTTTCATTCTTTTTTTTTGGCAGTGGTGTTTTAGTGGTAAAGGAAGCGATCTTGGGTCCAGAAGGCTTCAGGTTCGAGTCCACCAAGTTACCACTTAGGTGCTCTGAGCATGGCACCGTCAACACTCACTGCTCCCCAGGCCCTTGAAGCTGCCCCCTGCTGCCCCCTGCTGACTGTGGTGATGGGTTAAAAACAGACGTCACATTTGGTTGTGTGCAGTGGTGCAGTGGTGCAGTGTGCTGTGTCACAATGACAAGTAGTTCACTTTCCATTCCTTCCTTTTTCAAATATTTATTTCTCTCTGTAGTTCCTTCATGGATTATGATGACACTGATCACATCGGTACTGGACGCAGGAAGATCCTTGTGTCATTTTTGTACTAACAAATCAGTGTGTCTTTGTCACTTGGACTTTCCTGACTCTGGATCAGCTCAGTTCCAGGTTCTAGGTTCTCAGTCCTCCAGGTCATCGTCTCCAAAAATAGTTCCACGGAGGTCGACTGGACGGAGGTTTCTTCAAGACGTTTCACTGCTCATCCAGCCTGTTGGATGACTAGTTGATGCCTGTAACTATTTTTGGTCCTGATTCTTTTTAACGAAGCCACACAGTAACATCAGTGTGCATGTGCATGTGTGAGTGTGTGTTTACACAACAGTCACAGCCGAGATCAGACGTGAACACAACAGATCACCTTTGTTGACTCCAATCACAGACAGGTGTCAACTGTCAGAGTAAAGATCTGTCATTTCCAGGGTCATACTGTACAAGAGGCTCCTCCTCCTTCGCCTCCTCCTCCTTCGCCTCCTATTCCACCCCCACCTCCCCAAAATTAAAATACTATTGAGCTCCTGGTAAATGTTATTTATTTATCTGTTGCTGCACCAGTATCTGAATACAATCACCTGTTTATAAATATAGATGAATAACATAAGCTACAATGCTGCCATCTAGTGACTAGAGGCTTTTTATTTAATGTTCTCTGTTCATGTATTATGAAGGAGTTAACAGTTATGGGTATGGGAGGGGGAGGGGGAGTGAGGGATTGGTCTGTCGGGGCATTGAACTATTTTTAGAGCACACATCATTTCATGAGACCCAGGCATTGCGTTATCGGGGTTTCAGCAAAAGAAAAAACGGTATCGATGCTTACAGATATTACATAATTATGCTAATATTGGTCATGATAATATTGGTCGCCCGATATTATCGGCCATCCCTACACATAACCTACCAAGACTGTAATCTAACCCTAGCCCTGTAAGTTATATTCATAATAATATTAATAATGATTGAAATTTATACTAAAATTATAGTTTTTAAAAAAAAATGGTATGCCAGATATTTTTGACCAATATTGGTCCACCAACCCGCTGTTGGCAAGACAAACCTCTGCCATAGACCATAGTAAGGATCAAGGAAACCCTTGGGGAAAATTGGAGCTCATGTTTGTGGGGTTTTTTTAGCTTTAAAATCCAATTCATTTATGTGGAGAGCTCATGTTTGTGGGGGTTTTTTTGGCTTTAAAATCCAATTCATTTATGTGGATTAAGAAAATGTCTAAAGCACTTGATGATTTTGACATTTTTAGGTAAAAACCAACAGAGACTCAATGAAAAAGACAATGTAACTGACTTGGATGTTGACCTGGTTAACTAAATATCAAGTGCCGCCACATTTCTGTTCTCACAGCCCCAGCTGCTCATCATTACTGTTCTGCTTCACAGTTTAGGATAAAGTTCATAAACAATCCAGATGTTTTTGAAAACCCATCCACAAGTATGTCCACATATGGATTACATTAGATTAGATTTATGACCGATAGATGATTAGACTGGTTTATGACATCATTCTTATGGAACGCTGAACGTTAAATAACTGATGTGACCATTACATTATGATGTTATTTCTATGATGAACCACAACCTGACTTTGTTATTGTTCATACAGTCAATAATTCAGCCAATGGTAATAATAATACATTTACATTTACTTGGCAACAGATGAACGCAGCAGCTCCATCTATCTGCTGTGTCTAGAACAAACATGACGCCTCTTATATTTGAGACCTACTTTGATAAACCTGCATCTGGTCTATGACAGTTGTTTGTCCTCTAACACTGTCCTCTATACTGTCCTCTACCTCTGTTCTCTACCATTGTCCTCTATACTGTTCTCTACCACTGTCCTCTATACTGTCCTCTACTTCTGTTCTCTACCACTGTCCTCTCCCACTGTCCTCTATACTGTCCTCTATACTGTCCTCTACCTCTGTTTTCTACTACTGTCCTCTTCCACTGTCCTCTACCACTGTCCTCTATACTGTCCTCTATACTGTCCTCTACCTCTGTTCTCTCCCATTGTCCTCTATACTGTTCTCTACCACTGTCCTCTATACTGTCCTCTATACTGTCCTCTACCTCTGTTCTCTACCACTGTCCTCTATACTGTCCTCTATACTGTCCTCTACCTCTGTTTTCTACTACTGTCCTCTTCCACTGTCCTCTACCACTGTCCTCTATACTGTCCTCTATACTGTCCTCTACCTCTGTCCTCTACCACTGTCCTCTATACTGTCCTCTACCTCTGTCCTCTACCACTGTCCTCTATACTGTCCTCTACTTCTGTTCTCTACCACTGTCCTCTACCACTGTCCTCTACCACTGTCCTCTATACTGTCCTCTATACTGTCCTCTACCTCTGTTTTCTACTACTGTCCTCTTCCACTGTCCTCTACCACTGTCCTCTATACTGTCCTCTACCAGTGTCCTCTATACTGTCCTCTACTTCTGTTCTCTACCACTGTCCTCTACCACTGTCCTCTACCACTGTCCTCTATACTGTCCTCTCCCACTGGCCTCTGCCACTGTCCTCTAACTCTGTCAGACTGGACTCTGACTGCTGGTGTTGGTCCACTCCTGAAGACAAAGACAGATCTTCTCTGATGGTTGCAGATATAGACAAGTGTATGTGTGTGTGTTCTTACCTCAATGCCATGGAGGTGCCGTTGAGCGATCCGTGGGTTTGTCTGTAGGAGCAGCTCCCCTGACGAGAGTACCTTTCATCTCCACAACAAAGGATCATCAGAAAGGCCCTTCGAAACGCTCGGTTAAGGAAGGCGTAGAGGAAAGGGTTCAACCCTGAGTTGATGTAGCCCAGCCACAGCCAGGCGGTCCACAGCTGCCAGGGCACTGAGTAGTGAATGAAGGGGTCCACCACGTTAGTGATGAAGAACGGGGCCCAACACAGACAGAAACAGCCCATAATAACTGCTAGCGTCTTTGCCGCCTTAGTCTCGACCCTCATGCGGCTGTTGACAACAGCAGCCTGGTCTGTGGACGGAGAACCTGCTCTTGTCCTCGGCCGGTAGAGTTCTGTTGGATCTGAAGAAGTAGATGATCTCACGGTGACGGCCCGTGCCGTTCCACACGCAGGAGCAGAGCCGGCGCGCTGCAACGTCTCGATCTGTCTGGCGTGGGTCGTGGCAGTCACGTAGATACGCTGGTACGCCAGGACCATGAGGGCCAGCGGTACGTAGAAGGCTACAGCCGAACAGATGAGGGCATAAGGCTGGTTCACCAGGAACACACAGCTGGTGTCGTTGGATCCTCCCGTCAACGCTCGCCTCTCTTCAATCTGAGTGGGACAAAAGGTTTTTTTTCAAAAAGAAACTGCAGACAAAACTAGACAAAACTAGACCCATAGAACTGTATTGGACTGTATCCCACTGGAGTTCCCTTCAGGAAGTGATGGAAAACTAATAAGGCCGTAGAACAAAGGAGGTTTATTTCATTTTTCTGACTGGGAGAGGTGGATTTTTTTTAGGCGTGCTGGTTGTTTTCTTTTAAACGAACTATTAACATTGGCTCATTGGAAAAGTACTGTATTGTTAGTTATAAAGTTATATATTTTTATCACTGATATGGATGACAATATTTTAACGACCAGCTAACTTTTGGTTTAACTACAGTTCTAACTCACCTTTAACTATTCCTAACCAACTTTTTTTAAATTTTTTATCAGCTGCTATTTTACTTTTCTAACCAACTTTTAGTGATATTACTCTTTTTTTAATTTTTTATCAGCTGCTATTTTACTTTAACTTATTTGTATAATTTTTGATCATTTATTTGTGGCTAACATTTGTTGTGATTGGCTACTTTGTTTTAACACCGATGCTGCTGCCAGCTCTCACTGCATCACCATGTCACCACTCAGGACATCAACAAGGAATATTAGGTTGTGTCTTTTATATTCTTCCTAACTGAGGTCATATATATATACTATATACACTGTATATATGTATGTATGTATGTATATATATATTGACCTCAGGGAGGAATACATACCTACTGTACATTTATATTTGTTTAAGAAGAAGACCTCAACGACTCCACGATTGATGTTACAGAGTTTGAGTTTGAAGAGTGTTGAACTTCAAACACACTCACAATGTCCTCGATGCCGATGGCGTTCCAGTTTTGCATGATGGGTAAGAAGGAGATGAAGGTGGGGATGATCCAGCAGCTGCCCAGCATGACTGCCACTCTCACCGGGGTCATCTTATGGCTGTAGACCAACGGCTGGCAGCAGATGGCGTAGTATCTGGAAAACACACACCAATGGAGATGCACACAATCACTACTGCAGTACTGAACTCTCACTGGAGTACGTTCTTCACCAAAACAACAAAGAAGTTTTGTTGTTGTCTTGTGTAGTACACACTTTTTGGTGGTCTTTTTGTGTGCGTGTGTTGTTGTAGTACTGTAGTGTGTGTTGTTGTAGTAGTGTGTGTTGTTGTAGTAGTGTGTGTTGTTGTAGTACTGTAGTGTGTGTTGTTGTAGTAGTGTCCGTTCAGGTTTGTGTTGATCCTCAAGGCTGAAATACAATTTATTTTCACAGTAAAGTTTTGTCCTCAGGTGATTAGGAACTGGTAAATAGAGAACTAGTGTAGAACTAGTTAGTACTAAGTTCAAATAAAACAGCTGTTTTTAATACCAATGTATTCTGTATAAACATATTTCTGTTGTTGAAGGTCCATCGCATGATTTTAGGGAAACCTTATTGGTCTTTGTGACATTTCCGAAAAGAATGTAGTTGAATGAGCCAAGCAAATCCAAAATTAAAATAAATATATTTGAGTATATGGCACTTTCACCCTGAGCCAATGTCTCTGTCCTGGGCAAGTTTGAATCCCGGTCAGGGCGGTTGGTACCTTCCAGTGGACTCACCACCTGTAGGAAGGTTTGGGGGGGGTTGGTACGGTGCAGTGTGATTCTGCCACCCCCGCGACCCAGTAACGGATAAGCGGATGAAAATGGATGGATATTTGAGTATTTGATTATTTTTCTATTCTCTTTCTTTATTGGCAGGAGTCTTGGTATATTTACGCTCTGTCAATACTTCAGTGCTGAAGAGAGTATCACAATGGTTCAAATCCCTGTCCTCATTGATCACACAAACACACGTAGGAACGCACACACCTGTCCAGTGCGATGCAGCAGAGGTGCAGGATGGACGCTGTTGTCAACAGGACGTCCAGCGACGTACGCACCAGGCAGAAGATCTGTCCGTATCTCCACTGACCCGTGGTCAACTCAACAGCAGCAAAGGGCATCACCACCACAGCAACTAGCAAATCGGCAAACGCCAGAGACACGATGAAGTAGTTTGTTTTCTTCTTCCTAAACAAAGCAAAATATTTGTTACTCCTTTGCAGTATCGGCAGGATGCAGTTACAAAATAAAGACAAGATTTTCTCTTTAAACATCTTGTGTGGAAGTGGAGTGGAAGTGAGGTGAGTGTGAGGCTGCTGCGAACCTGACTTTTAGAATGAGATGAGGTGTGGTTGTTAGTGTTAGTTAGTTACTTAGTTAGTTAGTTAGTTAGTTAGTTAGTTAGTTAGTTAGTTAGTTAGTTAGTTAGTTAGTTAGTTAGTTAGTTAGTTAGTTAGTTAGTTAGTTAGTTAGTTAGTTAGTTAGTTAGTTAGTTAGTTAGTTAGTTAGTTAGTTAGTTAGTTCGTTAGTTTGTAGGTGGAGGAACTGACGATGACTGAAGAGTCTAACAGTGACAACAGCTGTCCACACCACTGACCTCAGATGTCTGTCTTTGCAAAGTGCCACCATGACCAGCAGGTTTCCGAAGACTGTCATGATAATAATGATTGAGAGGAAGATGGTGAGGACAACTGTCTCCAGTGAGCTGAGAAACTCCTGCTGCTGCTGCTGCTGCTGCTGCTGCTGAAGATGATGATCTTCCAGTACTGTTTTTATGATGTCATCCAAAGACCTGCAGAGGACAACAAAACATTCTGTCAATTAAATCGACTCTCTTCAAACGATACTGTCTTTGCTTCCTTTGACAGAAGAACAAGCCTCACTCTTGTGGGAAGACAGTACAATAAAATGTAGATCAAATGAACCTTAAAGGTCAATTGAAAGGGATATTTAACTCAGCCTGTTAAAGAGACAATCACAAAGGTAGTAGCCCTAGGTGCAGTACCAGTGCCAACCACCAGGTTACTTGAGATGCAAACTTAATTCTTGGGGTTAAAAGACCATTCTTTTTGACATTAGCATATCTGCAGTAGCTTCTACATTGGCCAACAGAGTGCGCTCCATGTGCATTTTCTGAAAATGTACAAAAACTCAATTACCTTTCCATCATAGTACTGCTCTGCTACTGATGATGTCATAAGATGGCACAAAATCAATCAATCAATCCTGATCGCTCACATCAACATGCTGCTGTAGCTGTCATTCCAACAAAAGTCAGTAAAAAAGATAAGACTCTATAATTAAAGAACCACAAATGTGACATTTTATATTTCTATATTTCTGGGATTACAGTTCACTGTATCAGGGATTCGATTTATCACTTACTGTTGAGGTGATGCTGTGGCCATCACTAGTCATTAGCAGTAAAGCGGAGGGTTGTCCTCATCACCCCATGACCTCACCCTGGACACACACACACATAATTCATAGAATTTTCTCAATTGTAGTTTGAAAAAGTCTCATATTTGTGAGGCAGATTCCCATCTATGGGGAACTCAATCTGAGTAACACAATAACAATACAGTCGTAAGTACAAAACAACAGTCCAAAGTACCACTGAGTGCCAGGAGTGAAATCCTCTTTTCTTTTTCCCTGGACAAAGGAGGTCAGAGAGCGCTGCTCCTCTGGGACTGGTGGAACGTCTGCAGGTCTTCATTGTCCTTGTTGAAGGTCAGTCCATGGACCTGCAGCCCATATTTAACTTGGTAAATTAGGTAAACATGTTGATTATTACTAACCACAGCCTTGGGTAATGAGAGCAGAAGTAACGTGTGGAACATTGACCTCAGGTCTTTTTATGTTATCTCAGACTCTGGATATTTTCCTTAGCAGTATTCGTACTAAGACTCTTATCACGCTGTAGTATTTCTTTGTTTATTTGAATGCAGTAATGATTTGTTTTTATCTGAGAGAATGATTCCACTGTGTAAACAGGTCATCAGTTGTTGTGTTTATGTCCAGCTCTAATGGACTGGAGCTCCTGAAGAACAAAACAAGTCTTTACACTGATTATATACAGTATATATATATATATACAGTATATATTGTATACATATACTCACTGTACAATTAGGGATGGCTCGATGCAACTTTTTCATCTCAGATACTAATACTGTAACCTGAAGTATTTGCAGATATCAATCCGATACCTTCTTTTCTCATCCAGTATGACGTGAGCTGCCGTGTTGTTTCCGGCATGTACCGTGAAGTTAAGTTGAACGTTTGACCTTAGGTATCGGATCAGACAGGCTATAGATTTTTCTTCAGTGTTTGAGCCTTACATTTTGACCAATCTTGAACTGTGAAGGTCCTGAGTATCGGATCGAGCCAATGCCCTTGATTGGTTAGATGTACTGGGTGAAAGATTGTTCTCTGTCTGTGAAGGACCATATAAAGTCACGAAGAAGTTGTTGACAGAATTAATGAGAACCTGGGGAACCTGGTTTCCTGGATCTGTAAATGATGAGCAGCAGGGGGCGCTCATCTGTACTACGCTGTAGACATCTTATCAGTTTTAAGCACCTATTAAAATGCAGTGTCTGCTTCAGCTCTGTGTTTTATCACAGCCCAGCGTCAACACCTCACTTCCTGTACAGAGGTCACCGTTTACTGTCTGTGTGAAAGCCATGTAGGTTAGGGCCTACATTACCAGTGATGTTTACATTGGTTTGGTTTGTTGGCCAGGACCGGGGGTCAACAGGGTCAACATTTAAAATGTCTGACAGATTAAACTCGAGCTTTACTGTACTTCACTCTGGAGTAGTACATACCATAGTAGTACTTTCTCTGAGACATGTGCACCACATACAGGTTCAATGGTGTCACTACCTCTGGGCCATATACACACTACCTCATCAACCTCCAATCAGATGATCAGATATATAGTACCACCATGAAAGGAAACAAACTGGAAAAACTGACCAATACCCTGCTGGTATTTCTACTGTAAATTTGACCTCTGTGACTTCAGGCTTTCGTTACCTAACTAGCTGTTTACAGGCTAACCTTTATTGAAAGGATGGCTAAATATTAGCTACTTTTTAAAAAAAGTTTTTAATAAAACTTTTAGCTCTGGTTCTACTTGATCTGAATTTGATGTATTTGTTGTTGATAATGGAAACCAACAGACTGGGCTGTGACTTTGTCAAGTAATTCAGCTAACTGAGGCTATATGTATAGCTAGTTTTTTTTATCATTTACTATGCTTATCTATCCAATATTGTAAAAATATTAAATAAATATATTTAATCTTATTGTTTAACATTTTTTGCTATTTCTGGGTGAAGCTGCTTTAAAGATTTGTGTAAAAGCTAAGAAAATGTCTTTACTTTTTTTTGTCTGTTCTGTGTGACGTCACCATTTTATTATTGGCTAATGTTTTGCTGTTAGATCTTTTCTTTGCAGTAAACTGGTGGTTGTCATTGATCTTTGGTCTGAATTCTAGCCTGATGTCTTTAACAACACTTCTCTGTGATTGTGATAACACTAGTGAAAGATCCTTGAAGGAATGTGCCAATATTAGAGAAAAATAACAGCGATTATACACAACAGTTCAGCTTGACAATAGAAAATCACTGATTACTGCAGTTGAAATGGTAAAGAGAGGACTCTCCTCTCTCTCTCTCACACACACACTTCATCATCGTCATCACCTTCGTCATCTTCCTCACTGCCCTCCTACTCATCTGTTATTTACACATCAGTCTCTTTAAAGGAATGAAAAAAACCCCATTATCTTAAAATGGAATAAAAATGGAGACAGAGAGGGGGAGAGCGAGCGAGATAGAGAGACAGAGAGAGGGAGCTTGAGTCATAATTCTAACTAAAGTATTTTATTTTTTCAAATACAACTGTATTTGTGTCATATTGACTGATACACAAAGATGACACGAACATATTATATTATATTTATTATATTAATAGTAATACTTTATCACCTGTGATGACATACATTTTTTTATATTTAAAGCTGTGAAAACCATTTTTTCACACATTCGGTTTCGGAGACCGCGGGTGGAACCTCACACTTACAAGCTGATGCTAACATGTTGTTAGCTAGGAAGGATTTTACAGTGATCAATGAAAGTTCTGTGTTTAATATCTGTAGAGTAAGGGTGACCACAGGGGGGAACCACAGGGCCATTCTGAACAACAAAGTTAATCTAATTTAACTGGGCTAAAAACAAGGATTTGTTTTTCTTCAGCTGTGTTGTTAGCAGAGCTGTTTCAGGTCGTGGCGTGCTATGTTAGCAGATGTTAGCTTTGGGCTAACACTAAGCCACAGAAACTGTCAACAAATGGGTCAGGGCTAGGGTTACAACTGATATTGGACATGTAACGCTAGCTTCATGTCTAGTTTAAAGTATATTACCGTCAGGAAATATTATTCCGGAACTATAGGTAAGCCCAAACTGAAACAGAACGAACACCAAGTTTCACAACACCAGCTTTGATTGCTCTGAATATGAAGTGAACAGATAACACACCACTGCTAATGGCAATGTATTATTGGTTTCTTTGTTTCCTCAACAACAAATCTGTTGCTAAGTACTGGCACAAAATAAAAGCAAAGCCTGAAATCTATGTTATCCAGACAGTGTGTAAAGTTTTTATTTACGTTATAATGTGTGTTTAAGAAGATGCACCGTACCAGCCCCTCGTGAACCTTCCTGAAAGTGGTGAGTCCACTAGAAGGCGCTAACTTCCCTAACTGGGTTTCAATCTAACCCAGCAGGTGAACCCTGGGGTTCTATACCAATGACGTTGCCTCTGAGCCAAAGTGCCACAGAATTTTATATATTTGAATGTTTTAAGATGTTGAGAAAATTAAGTAATTTGTTTTTTTTTAAGGTGGGTCAGAAAGGATTGCCTATTGGTCACCACTGTACGTCAACAACTCTGCTGGTTCCCTATATTTTTTATTGAACATATAAACACTGATGCCCCCCCCCCACTCTCCAATCAAATGACAGTGGCAGCAGTGGAGTGTGTATAATGGTTTCATGTTTCAACCCCTGCTTAGCAACTTACCTGATCTACAGTAGAGCAACAACAACAAGCAACTTTTCTAACCTGGATTTCAGTAGTTTTAAATCAACCTTATCTTTTTAATTTGTAAAACAGAATCTGAACTTTTTGCCCACTTGCTATAAATCTGAACAGTTTTAGAACTGGATGGCTACGTCCATGTCCTACTATTGTAACTACTGCGTTTCTGAAGTAAAACTGTGATGAAATCACAGAGTAGTGTCCAGGAATACTTTGTTGTTCTGCCAGATCCTAGTGGACTGGGTTATTTCAGAATCAGCTCTGCACAAACAGAACAGTTAATCTGGAGGATTTTTGAACAAAGTCAATGTGTTTAAGAAGCAGCTGAACATGAAGTCTGGAGACATCGTCCTCTTTCCATCTGAAAAACACCATATTTGGACAAGATAAAAAGGGAGATTGTGTTTTTAGAGCAGTCAGCGAGAACGGGCCAAGAGAGGTTTTCAACCTCTATTTATTACTGCAGTTTAATTCTTTCCGAACAACAGAACAACATCATCAATAACACAAACCAACTGATAGATGAATGGATGGTTGAATAGATGGATGGACGGATGGATGGATGGATGTATGGACGGATGGATGGATAGATGGATGGATGGATGGATAGATGGATAGATGGACGGATGGATGATAAATGGATGGATGATAGATGGATGGATGATAAATGGATGGATGGTTGAATAGATGGATGGATGGATGATGGATGGCTGGACGATGGACAGATGGATGAATAGATGGATGGATGATAGATGGATGATGGATAGATGGATGATAGATAGATGGATAGATAGATAGATGGATGATAGATAGATGGATGATGGATAGAATCTCATTCTCAAACTCAAATTAGCTGAGTGCCACTGCTGCTACTGTCGTTTCACTAGGAGGCAACATCAGCTATCAATGGGTTGGATCTGGGCCCTCCGGTCATTTTAATCGGCCTGTAAGGCAAGCCTGGGAATGCTTTTATTACTCATCACTAAGTTATTTTTGCTAGCTTAATGATCTTAATGAGCCAGTGAGCTTAATGTTAGTTCAGTGACATTTTAGCTAATCTCGTTTTGGTTATCTTTATACATGTTATCAGTTTATCAGTGACTAATACACAGCTTCACAGTATTTCATTTTAAGAGTCAAATTTGTCAGTTCCCTAGAAATAGACCTGCAATTTACAAGCATTTTCAAAGTCCTTAGAAATCCAGCAGGAGGAGTTTCCTGACAGCAGTTGGTTGGACCGCCATAATTCAATGATTCGGAAAAAGTTCATCTAGTAAATGGTAACACAACTAATCCCTGGAGTTTTGGTTGTAAAAACCTTAAGGTAAAAGAAGCTGAGTAAGAGAGAGATGGGTTTAGAGCCCACAACATGGGTGGGATTCAACCACAAAACACCACATCAGGTTCTATTCATGTCAGCCAATGAGGGGAGACAGCACTTACTGCACTTAATACCAGGGTTTTTTAGTCATGTACTTATACCAGTGATATACCAGGGATATACCAGTATACAATAGTGGACTTCAGCTCATTTGAATTTGAGACCCCTGAGTTAGTGGGTGAGGGTGGGGTTACACCCCTTATCTTATACAGTAATATAGTGACAACAACCATTCACACTCACATTCACACTAATTTGAAGTGAATCGTGAAGGCCGTCTTGGAATGTTTGCTGTGAAACAAAGAAGAGGAGTAGAGAACATCTGTAGAATCTGGACAGACGTTTCAAGTAGCTTTAACTGATGACATTTAAGGGCTGACCTATGACAAAGTTGGAGTAATCTTAAATTTACATTTTATAAAACTTACTTTATTTTCCGTACTATAAGGGGTACTTAAAAACCTTTCATTTTCTCAAAAATCGTCATTGCGCCTTATAACCCGATGCGCCTTATGTATTAGTTCTGGTTGCGCTTACTGAGCGCGAATAGATTTTATAAAGCAAAACCACACAGCGCATCACACATGATGGCCCACAGTTGAAGCACACTGGGAGCCAACAATGACGTTTAACTCTGTTATCACAGTTAGAAGATGCTCAACAACAATTGTTACAGTAGTGGTTGTGTAACTCAACGTTCCGTCGTGCCTCCCAACAACCGGAGTTGTCTATGGTGCGATGCAGGACGACTCAGACGCATGACTGTCGATTTTTTTCGTGGTCAAGAACTCTTTTTATTTCTCCTTTTTTTTATCGATACAGGAAAAAAACACACTCTCTCTGCAAAACAACATCCAAACTTCCGCACAGAACAGCGTCAAAACAACAATACGGTGGACCATCCAGAACAAAATAGTGACAACCGCCTGACTCTGGAGGGGCGAACAACAACAACAGCGTCCTCCAGTGTCCAACTTAGGTCACTACCCTTTTCCACAAATCTCCGTCCCTATTAATCTGCTACTCCATGCGCGCCCATCTCACCGATATTGTGAAGCAAACTGATTCGGGGCTTGCCATCATTCTATGGTGGATTAACCATATATTTCCAACCGCTAAATATCGGTGTTAACAGGGCGTTCAAAGTTAAATTGCGAGCTGCGTGGAAGTATTGGATGACAGAAGGCGAACACACAGTCACCAAGGCAGGGAGGCAACGCCGGGCGAGTTACGCCACTATCTACCAATGGATCGTGGCTGCCTGGGCTAAGGTATCAGTCTCAAGTGTTTCACGAAGGACGGAATCATCACTGAACAGCTAATTAACAGCAACGATACTTACTCGGATATTGACGAGAGGGATCCTGGCATGCTTGATTGTTCCGCTTAATTCTTTCGCTGACATTAAACTGTTTTGTTTCGTTTAATGTGCCTTATAATGTGGTGCGCCTTATGGTCCGAAAAATACGGTTCTTTAGATTTTTTTAAAGATTTAAACATGGTTAAAAAAATTACAGTAGATTTAAGAGATTTGTTTGTTTGTTTGTTTACAGTGAAAATGCAAATTGCATAAATAATAATAAATCGTAATAAATAATAGTGAATAGTTATCATGAGTACTACCATGAGTACTATAGCAGTATGTAAGAAAACATTATATACTTGTTGTTATTCCTAGGTCTGTCAGGTCATTAAAGTTTTAATCTCATTAATCCCAGTTGATTAATCCTGATTATAAATAAACAATTATTAATCAGGATTAATCAACATTCCTGAGTATGGCAACAGACAAATACCAGCAGGTAGAAGTATCTGCTCTACACCTGTTTATTTGTAACAAGTCTAACACAGTTACATGGAGGTCGACTGGACGGACTAGGTTTCTTCAGTTCACACTACTAGTCCAAACACTGTTATTAATACAGAACAAACGAGTTGGTGGATTCAATACTTCACTACTGACCTCGGTGAACACATTTCTTTCTTTTCTCGTTGTCTACAGTCAGTTTCAAACTTCAGATTAATCCTCACAAATTAAACAACATTTGTTGTTTCAACAGCCCTTATTTCTATTGATTGCTTTTGAAAGTTAGCCACAAATACTTTGAGCCATTTTCACACAACAACCAGGCTAGTATTTGAGCTAATTTTTTAGTGTGAATTATTAATAATTAAATAATTTAAACTGTGAAACGTATACGTATATATGATACGTTTTTTTAGGTACTTAATAATAAAGAAGCTTAACAACCTGAACAACATTCTTTAGGAATACATTTAGGATTTAGTCATCTTTTTTGATAGTTGAGGTCATTTATTTATTAATAGGTTAAATAAAGGATGAATAGACATATTATTTTTAAGTGTTATTTACAGAATTAAGTAAAGAATAAAAATATAAAGCTGTTTACAGAGGCAAAAAACGAGTGTATCTGAAAAAACCTCACATCTGAATGTCAGTCAATGAACAGTGTTTGATGAATAGAATCAGGTTCTGACACAAAAACATCATCAAGACTGCTATAAAACTAGTTTTGTAAAATCGTAACTTCAACTCATGAATGAAACTTTAAATTACTCCACCTCCACAGGTGTCTTCACCTCCTCTCGTCCCCTCTCTCCTCCCCTCCTCCCCTCTCCTCGAAGGTTTCACTTCTTTGTGTTGGTTAGGTTCATTTCCAGAAAAAGAAAAAGAAAGTAAAAATACAAAACGATCCAATTTATACGAGCTGCAAATGAGTGGCAACAGAAATGGAGTGGAGACGGTCTGCTGTCAAAGGAGAGAGGCAGAGGGGGAGGGACAGAGGGGGAGGGACAGAGGTGGAGGGACAGAGGGGAGGGAGCGAGGGAGAGGGAGCGAGAGGGGGAGGGAGCGAGGGAGAGAGGGAGGGAGCGAGGGAGAGAGGGAGGGAGGGTGTTGATTTATTTACCGTGTGGCGTTTTGAGGTTAAATGCAGTTCTCTGTTTTTCCATCTGTACTCTTCTTTGTCACTGTTTTCTCCTCAGAGGGGGAGGGAGCGATGGAGAGAGGGAGCGAGGGAGAGAGGGAGGGAGCGAGGGAGAGAGAGAGAAAATTGTTATGTGCTGCCATCCAGTGGCGTGAACATAAAAGGCACATTAAAGCCCTCACAATAAATATCAAGAACATAAATATGAGCTTTATGGATTTTTTATATCGTTCAAAAACGTTTGATATGTATAATTTACTACATTCGTAAATATATTATTAAATATATTTTAATGCTACACAGATAACTTGGACAGATTTTAGTTTCAAGTTAACCTTTATATCCATGTTAGATAATTACAAAGTCTTCATTTAACACTCATTTCACAAACATTGATACAGTGGTGGCTTGGTGGTTGAGGAAGTGGAATTGGGTCTGGAAGTTACGAGGTTCAAGTCCACCAGCTGCCAAGTTACCGCTGAGGTGCACTGAGCACGGCACCGTCCCCACACACTGCTCCAAGGCAGCTATAAGCTGCTGAATACAAAACACTGTAACTGTTTCAATGTTTCTAGAGAAAATTCATCAAACTTTCTCTTGAATCTTCTAACAGTATGACTGGTTAGAGCTGTGGATTATTTTAAATTCCTCTAACTTCATTGGTCAGCAGGTCAGTGGTAACTGATTACTCATCACTGTGTACACTCGCTGTAATTGGATGTCGACGACGACGCTCAAAGAAAGGGTTAGTTTCCGACACTGCCTGAATGCACCACTACTTCCTGTTTGGCGCACACTTCAGGTAAACTCGGTAAAATACAGAAAAACAAGCTCGTTGCTGCAGTTTTCCTTTCAGTAAAACTAATATAAAATAAATTGTAAGAACCCGACTAACCTTGAGTTTCACGGTCTTGTTTTAGTGAACGCTTTTCGATAACGTAACTACATTCCCCCTTTAATTCTCTAGGTTGATAAAATGTCAAAACTACCGGGGAGCGCTGGCGTGACGTTGCTCGGCGACAAGTCCCTGGACTTTTACCGGGACCCGGTGAGCTTCTATCTGCTGAAGTTGGATAAACACGGCGGGAGAGTGTTCCAGAGCCGGCTGCTGAACAGACCCACGGTCTTTATCTGCTCCGTCCAGGCAACGAGGGAGATGCTGTGTGGTATGTAGTGGAGTAGACATGTCTGTCTGTCTGTGTGTTTTTACCATATCAATCTTCATCGCTGTCATATTATTTTGGTGTAAACATACCTGGTCATAACTAGTAATTTTAGGGTGACCATGTTCTACAAAACCACAACCTCAAACAAAAAGTTTGTGTAAAAGTGTACAGAAGCTAAAGATGAATAATGGATATAAAAACTGTGACAAAAAAAGTTCTTTTAGCTAACAGTTGATGACAGTGTTGTAATGCTGTTAGCTTTTGCTACTGTTTGATAGCATCTATTTGGTTCCTCTGTGTTTGTGTTTCAGAGAAGTCCCACATGTTTGTAAAGGATCCCACTGACCTGATGACCAGTGTGTACGGGGAAACCATCGTCACCACTAACGGTAAACATGTGTCTTCACATCTGCACAGGTTCAGCTCCATGTGACCTTAATGACCTCAGCTGATGTGTGTTCCAGGTGAGGAGGCGTGTCTGCTGCGTTTGTCCCTCAGCAGTCTGTTGACAGGACGTTGGTTGGATTCATCACGTGATTATATCAGCAGGTAGAACTACAAAGAACGACTAAAACAGCTACGGACATGAACTATTTCTACATACAACTACTAAAACAGATGTTTCACCCCAAGCTACGGACATGAACTATTTCTACATACAGTATATGTAGTATATGTGGTATATGTGGTATATGTGGTATACTTGTGCTTTTTGGAATCTGAAAACGACTTCTGTTCCACAGTGTATGTGAGCGCTGTCTGAAGGACCTTTCTCTCAGGTAGTATCAGAGTCCAAACTGCAATATTCATAAAACACAGTATTTGAGTGTGTGGACCAGGTGGGATTCAGTCACGTGACCTAACATTAATTTACTGATAATAGTTTGACACGAAATAAATAGTGAGTCGACCAGAAGATCATTTTATTTCATACATGTGGTGGTGCATCATGGGATTCTTCTAATGTAAATGTGTGACTGAAATAAGATGAAGAAACTGTGGATCAACAACTTAGTTTGGACAAGGATTAGAGTTATGGTTAGAGTTAGAGTTAGGGTTAGGGTCAGGGTCAGAGTCAGAGTTAGAGTTAGAGTTAGGGTTAGAGTTAGGGTTAGAGTTAGGGTTAGAGTTAGAGTTAGGGTTAGGGTCATGGTCAGAGTCAGAGTTAGAGTTAGAGTTAGGGTTAGGGTGAGAGTTAGAGTTAGAGTTAGTGTTAGGGTTAGGGTTAGTGTTAGAGTTAGAGTTAGTGTTAGGGTTAGGGTTAGGGTTAGTGTTAGAGTTAGAGTTAGTGTTAGGGTTAGGGTTAGTGTTAGTGTTAGAGTTAGAGTTAGAGTTAGGGTTAGGGTGAGAGTTAGAGTTAGAGTTAGTGTTAGGGTTAGGGTTAGGGTTAGAGTTAGAGTTAGAGTTAGGGTTAGGGTGAGAGTTAGAGTTAGAGTTAGTGTTAGGGTTAGGGTTAGGGTTAGTGTTAGAGTTAGAGTTAGGGTTAGGGTTAGGGTTAGTGTTAGAGTTAGAGTTAGGGTTAGGGTTAGAGTTAGAGTTAGGGTTAGGGTCAGGGTCAGAGTCAGAGTTAGAGTTAGAGTTAGAGTTAGAGTTAGAGTTAGGGTTAGAGTTAGAGTTAGAGTTAGGGTTAGGGTTAGGGTTAGAGTTAGGGTTAGAGTTAGAGTTAGGGTTAGGGTCAGGGTCAGAGTCAGAGTTAGAGTTAGAGTTAGAGTTAGGGTTAGAGTTAGAGTTAGAGTTAGAGTAGGTGGTTAGCCAGCTGCCAAGTTACCAGTGAGACGCTCTGAGCATAGCATCCGTCCCCACACACTGCTCCCCTTGCACTTAAAGCTGCCCCCTGCTGCCCCCTGCTGGCTTTGGTGATGGGTTAAAAATAGAGGCTCAGTTTTGTTGTATCCCCATGTTACAATGACAATAAAGACTATAAATTAATTTAAATTTTTAACTCATGAACACCTGACTGTGTGTGTGTGTGTGTGTGTGTGTGTGTGTGTGTGTTTGTGTGTGTGTCTATATAGTGGGGATCCCCAGTGTGTTTACTCTGGGATCAAACGCCTGGGAACAGAGATGGTTCTGGGTCTTTTTCTGAACGTACGAGCAGAGGAGCAGCCTGAACTCTTCCAGGAAATCACACAGCTCTGCACACAACACTGGCACGGTACCAACACACACACAACACAACACAACACACACACAACACAACTTCTGCTTTTGTTTTCAGTCAGTGGTTATATAACAACCGTGTTCCTCTGCCTGTGTGTGTGTGTGTGCGTGTGTGTGTGTGTGTGTCCACTCCAGGCCTCATCTCTGCTCCAGTGAAGGTTCCTCTCTGGTCCTCAGGGTTCTCCACAGCCCTCGATGCCAGAGACAGACTGATGGCCATCATTAAAGACAAACTGGAGAATGACCAACAGGGGTGAGACTCCTCCCCTCACCCCCTGCTGATTTGATGGGTTAAAAGCAGAGGTCACCCCCCCACTCAGAATGGATCTTGGCTTGTGGATCTCAAAAACATGCCCAAAAGAGCTTTAATTGTTTTGGTCCAAAAAGCTAACCCTTCCTTCTTCAGATTTGTGGGCTGTGTCAGGTCTCTGCCGCTGCCTCACTCCAGCTCTGCCTCGCAGCATCTCCTGCTCTTCATCTCTGCTCTTATCCCCAAGGCTTTGGCTTCACTGCTCACCTCCTTCACGTTGGCACTGGCTGGGAACAATCAGGTGCAGTAACACCAGTTTGTTGGAGTTCAACCTTAGCCATAATTCTTCACAGCTTTCTAACTTGACGCCTACATTGAATTTGTTCAGAAAGAGACACGTCAGAGAGCCAGAACAAACTGTGGTTACCTGCAGGCCATCCTGCTGGAGGTGCAGAGACTCTGGCCTCCATTCATCGGGGGGAGGAGAATCGCTGTTCAGGTAGGAATTTTTGGACTTTTGTTTTTGGACACCTACTGCATTTGTCATTCCCACAGCCTACAATTTGGGCTTCATTTCCTAATTCTCATCTTACCTGCCAACAAATAATTATTTACCACATTTATGTTCAATAAAGCCAAGGCTGAAAATGTCTGTCCTGTGACTTTTATGGTTCTTTAAATAGATGGATATATATATATATGTGTGTGTGTTTTCTGTGTTTTCTTAAACATAAACATAAACAAAACATTTTTTGTTGTGTTTTATCAAAACATAAAAAACTGTACTTGCAAAAAAAAAAGTAAAACAACAAATAAGTAATTAAAACAAGAAGAAGAAGAAGCTGCTGGCTCAGGCCAAATAAAAACATATGTGACATCCTGTCACGGGAAGAAATGCTATAGTTTTCATGCGACCAGTATTTCTTCGTTATTACCTCTAGAGGGCGACAGAAGGTAATGTACTAACGTCCCTTTGACTCTCGGCTCCTCCAAACAGGAGATTTATTGTTCACTTGTTAAGGTCAACGTTGAGCCACACGGTGGAGACATTTTTTTTTATGTTCAAACGCTCGTTCACAGTCCAAAAACTTGAGGGATCAAGTTGACAATCCACTCTGAATTGATTATAGGTCTGAATATGATTGTAAGTGGCTGTTTGTCCTTATGTCTTATGGACCCCCATCACCTGATGACTTGCCCCCCCTGTGCCCACCATAAAGGATAAAGTGGTAAAAAAGAAATGGATATAAATTAAACACAGAGAGGAAGAGCTAAATGTCAGTGTACGTAATAGATTCATCAATGTCTTACATTTGGTATGAATGTCATTATATTTGTTCATTTAATGTTTCGAATACTTGATTAAAGTAATATACTTGAGTAAGTAAAATATTGTGTTAACTTCTTCAAACCTTTGTCCCAGGAACATAATCAACCAGAGTTTGTGTGACACTCAAAGTTCCTAAAACAGTTTTATATATACACACTGTATATGTTTATATATGTCACCACTAAAACAGCCCCCCCCCCCGTCTATCTTTGATGACTGTGACCTCATCACAACCCTTATGCAACAGACCCAATCAGATGCATTGATCGTTTCTGTAATTGAGCTATGCTTGGCCGGAAGGAACTAATGGAGGGAGGTGGAGGGTGGAACTGGAGGCGGAGGAACTGGAGGTGGAGAAACTGCTGGTGGTGGAGAAACTGGTGGTGGAGGGTGGTAGACACTGGTGATGATGTAAAAACAGCCGTTTCCTACATTAGAGGAAGTAACTACCTTTTTTATTCCCAAGGTCCACAAGGTGTCTACAAAGACTGGTTAAAAGAATAAAGTGGGCTCCATCTTCTGGTTGGTTGTAGTGTGACGTCCCAAGTAGAATTACTTTACCCACATTTGGAGAAAGTAACGTCAAACAGACTAGAGGAAAATACTGTGCACATGACTCATGTTTCATGACCGGTGGTTCTTTGGAGTTGACCCAGAAAAGAACAATTTACTTTGTTTTTGCTTCCAAATTGTCTTCCCGAAACTAAAAACCTAATCATTTTTTTGAGAAATTTAAATTAAACCACAAGTAAATACAAATACAAAGAAAATCTACAATAGAAATAAAAAGGAAAAAAAACTTTTTTCCTCCAAAAAAGTCATTACAGATCAAAAAAATGCAATGAAACTATTGTCTTTATAGATGCCAGAGTTTGTCTAATTTAGTTCATCAGACTTTTACCGTGTTAAACATAAACATTAAAGTTTGGATGAAGGTCAGTATTCCACAAATGGGTCACATCCTGTTTTTTCTTTCAAAATGAAAACTTTGGTGGTGCCGTGGTACTTATGGTGGTTCTGTCGTTCATCTTTCAGTCACGTCGGTGTCTATTACTGCAGGGTTTCAATATAAATGTCCTTTTTATTACATGTTAAACTCCCCTGGACTGAGAAGTGTTAACATCCACAGAGGAGAAGGATTATTATTATTCACAACCAGTTGGAAAAAAGCTGAAGCTCTGTCAGCTGGAACTAAGATATGGACTGACTTTACTGAGTCTAAGGGCAGGTCAGAAAGAGAGAAGGGGGAGAGAGGGAGGGATGAGGAGAGGGAGAGAGAGAACAGTGGGGGGGGGGGGGGGGGGAGGGGGGGGGAGGGAGGGGGGGGGGGAGGGGGGGAGGGGGAGGGGGAGAAAAAACAGGGGGGGGGGGGGGTGATCATATTCTGTGGGAGTCCATTAATGCAGCTACTAATGGATGTTTTGAAAAGGGGATTCAAAGGGCCAAGAATGAAGAAAGTGACTTTGTGCCTGAGGAGGAAGAACTTAGGAAATTTGTTTCACATGACGTTACAGTTTTCATTCAAAGAAAACATGGGGATTAAAAATATCTTTCAACAACTTGAAAAAATTGCCTTGACATCAGCAGGATGATTGACAGCCATTTTTAATTTCCAATATTTTCATTATTTTCGTGATGAAAACTAAATAAAAAATTTTCTAACCTAAAACAATGAAACAGTAAAAATATATAAAAAAAATTAACTAAAAGACATGGCTGGTAGTTTTGTTTACCTGGAGGAGATGGAACACAGCATTGATCACACTCTTCTGTTCCTCACTCTGATTGGCCATATAACTGCTTTTTAATTAAACACACAAAACTTCACCTTTTTAAGTAACTGTTTTATTTAAATAAGAAAATTGACAAAAAACTATACTATCATCGTTGTATAGTTTCATAAATGAAATAATTGAAATTTGCTAAAAGTTAGTTAAAGGTGCTTAACATTAGCTATAAACATGAGTGTCTGCTGCTGAAACCTCAATCAACAAAAGACCCAGTAGATCTCAGGGGTTTTCATGACATCCATTTGTCAACTTGTCGCTGAAGACGTCATTGATAAATTTCAGTTCCTAAAGAAAAATTCAGGAAAAATAATGAATTGCCATAATCTGTATTATATAAACATACATAGTGTTTATTTGACAGAGAACATCCTAATATAACCATCAGGTTTCCTCCCATTCTATGACGTGCAGGACTCCACCCTGGCAGGGTTTCATGTCCCTAAAGGTCACACTGCCGTCTACATCAGCCATGGCGTCCACCGTGACCCAGAGGTGTTTCAGCAGCCTGACAACTTCCTGCCGGAGCGCTGGAGTGGAGGGTAAGGACGCCATCTACTGTCTACTCTCATTTATCTGTGTTTGTGTTTGTAAAATTCAGTGAACACAATAAAAAGACAGAGCTGAAGATAAATCATGTTTAGGAACAAGAATATTTTCAAAATATTCAGAGTGAAAAAGCTAAATTCTAGCTAAAATATAGTCGAATGTTAGCCAAGATAACAAAAAACTAATCCTGAAATGGCAAGGAAAATATGCCAAATTAGCTTAAACACTTAGCAAAAGGTTAAGGTCACAAGGTAAATCAATCTGGGTTACACTGCAGTGACAAGGAAGAAAATGACTCATAAATGTATAAAACTCAACTAAATCAATATTAGCAAAAAGGATATTGATTTTTGCCAAAAGGTACTTTTTAGATAAGAATTGTTTTAGAAAACAAAAGATAAAAGCTAAAATGAAAATATAAATATAAGCTAAAATGAAAGAAAAGCAAACAAATTGACAAACTCTGTTGACCAACTCTGTTGACCAACCTACAGCAGAGTGGATTTGACAGTGTTACTGTTGTCATGTGGGGAACAGAACAATAAGTTAGCAACGGAGAAGTTAGCAGTTAGCCCAAACTTGACATAAGTCAGGAAGTCAAATGACATTAATAAATATACCAGCCAAAAGAGGAAAAGAGCTGAGAGATTAAGACACATTAAACTAGTTCAAAAGAACAGCTTCAGATTATTTAGAAATAACACAAACAACATGAGAGAATCCAGGTTTGGGCTGGGAGAGATTATGACTCAGATTATAATTCTCAGGCAGATTAATAATCCTGCAGCAGACTATAATCCTGCAGCAGATTAATAATCCTGCTGCAGATTAATAATCCTGCAGTGGATAAATAATCCTGCAGCAGATTAATAATCCTGCTGCAGATTAATAATCCTGCAGTGGATAAATAATCCTGCAGCAGATTAATAATCCTGCTGCAGATTAATAATCCTGCAGTGGATAAATAATCCTGCAGCAGATTAATAATCCTGCTGCAGATTAATAATCCTGCAGTGGATAAATAATCCTGCAGCAGATTAATAATCCTGCTGCAGATTAATAATCCTGCAGTGGATAAATAATCCTGCAGCAGATTAATAATCCTGCTGCAGATTAATAATCCTGCAGTGGATAAATAATCCTGCAGCAGATTAATAATCCTGCAGTAGATCATAATCCCACAGCAGATAAATAATCCTGCATCATTTCAGGTCTACACTGTTTTTTTTCCTTTTGTCGTGTACGTCCACATTGTTACCATAGCAACCAGTACAGATAAATGACCTTGGTGATTACACATATGTTTTTTTAAATGAACTAGATGTCAGAATTTAGTGAAAGAGGAAAAAGGAAAGAGAATGTATGGATGCAGGAAGCTGCTGTTGCCATGGAAACGACCCCCTGGCATTGTGTGTGTGTGTGTTTCTGGTATAGCTGTACTTGGAGGGGGAACACGCTCCCCCCTCGATATAAACAGTATTTTGTGGTTCAAATTCAGGTTTAGGGTCAGGATTAGATTAAGGGTCAGATTGTTCACAGAGTAGGTTTTATCCCTTCAGTTTTTCTTCAGTGAAGATTCTGTACATAATGAATAAATCAGTTTTAAGAGAAGCAGAGTTCACCCTCTGGTGTCTAAAAATAGATTTTCTCACTGTTGTACACTGGATCTGGACCGCAGGCTGGCCAGTCGATGATCATAAACTGTCAGGGATGTTGACAGTGACACAGATGTTCCTCCAGATGTACTTCATGGATTTACTGCGCTAAACCACTAGTCTGATCATTTCAGAGGACAGTACATCACTAGACAGACAGAATACGCCTCCTGCCATACACACTCCAACACACACACACACACACTCCAACACACACACACACACACTCCAACACACACACACACACTCACACACACAAACACGTGCAGTGGCCCGTCCTCTGGACTAATGCTTCCTGTGTGGCTTTAATCAGAGCTCAGGTTTCAGGAAGACAGGATGCATTAGTGAGGAGAGAGGGAGAAAGACAGAGGGGGGTGGAGGGGGTGAGGGGGGAGTCGGTCTGGCCTAACTGATGTGTTATATATTGCCTGTCATTTGATTCTGCAGGAATATTGGGGCGTTGCTAAGCTCAAACCTGGAAGGTACAGCAATCCATCACCTCGGTGGGTGGGGGTTGAAATCTCATCTCGTAGCCAGAAGCCA